CCGTGGATCTGTGATGTCTGTGTTCAATTTCGTCATCGAGTAGATCTCTCTCTCTTGTATGGCTAAATCTCACTTAAAAACCTACTCACTTCGCGCAATATATTTTCACTTGTTTTTCCATAGCATTTATATACCCTAAATTGTTTAAAATTAGCGTGTAAAATTTTATTTATTACGCAAATATGTCGAAAATTTATTCAAATATTGTTGCATGACATTTAGAATCAGATGGGATTTGAGCCAAAAACAAGCGATGAATATGTACAAGTGCACGCTAAGTGAAACTGTAAGATATTTAAGTGATGTTCGGCCTCCTTTATCATTGTTCCTTTTCGCAATTGATGATATATCTGTGTCCCATGTGTATTAAATTTCTATGTCTCATACTGAAATTATTTTGATATTCAATTAGTGTATTTAAGATTAACTTTAATGATAAAAATGTTAAGTACTCTAATTCAAATAAACAACTCTTGCATTTATATGTTTTTCTTGTTTGGCATTTGGAAAGTGAATGCTAACATATTAGTATCTAAGGGGTTGTTTGGTTCATTTCCTAGAAACCAAAGTTTGGGAGATTTGTCATGGGAAATAGGTTGTGTGATCCATTTTCATGTTTTCAAACTCATTTCATAACTTTTTGGAAGGAAATGTGTTTCCTTAAATTTGGGACCCATGACACTATTATCTTACTAGTAGATGGGTCCTATATGCACAACATCTCTTTTTTTCTTCTCTCAACTAAACACAAGAAAAAAAAATCAAACACATTCACATGAGTGTGTTGGGTATTTTGATTTTCTTTTCTTAGTTTCTCAGCCAACCAAACAGCTCCCAAGCCCCTTTCACTTTCTAAAAGAATTAAAGAAAGTGGACATAAAGTGAAGAGAGAGGAGAGAGAGAGAGAAAATATATTTTTAGATTTTTCACGTATTGTTTTACTTTTATTTGTCAACTTTATACTATTATTTTTCACGATAATAATAAAAAAGAATAAAAAAAAGCATCATATCATTTGTTAACTTTATCTTTTTTTTTTCTATTATCCATATAAGATTTCGCAAAATAGAAAGCACCTTTTTGAAAAAAGAACTTTCTATTTTTTTGCACTTTCCATTTTAGAATCCAAAACCCACTTTCCTTCACTTTTTCACTTTCCCCCACTTTCTTTAAGGGGCTGTTTGTTTGTTTTATTTTGAGATGGAAAGGGGGTGAAAACCTGCCAAAATCTGACATTTTGGTAGGTTTTCACCCAAAAAAAAAACAACCAAACAGCCCCTAACCCACTTTCCTTCACTTTCTCCCAATAATATTGTGACAACTCATCCCATCACATCTCATTTCTTACTTTTAAAAATAAACTAAACACAAAAAATGAGTCACATCAATCAACTCATCTAACTCACCTCACCCAACTTTCCTTCATTTTCTACCGTCTTTAAAAATTACTCACATCATCCAATAATATGGTGACAACTCATCAAATCTTATTAAAATTTTCTTTCATCACTTTCCTCCAAAAAATCAAGGAAATTAATTTTCCTAAGTATGAGTCACATCATCCAATAATATAATGACAGCTCATTTTCTCTCATTTATTTTCTTAGTTTTAAGAATGAACCAAACACAAGAAAGAACAAAAAATAAAGAAAGTAGAAGGAAACATCAAAAATTACTCATCTCATCCAATAATATGGTGACAACTCATTTTCTTCCTCACTTTCTTTCTGAATTTTGACGAACCAAACATCAAAAAATAGAGAAAAATATCAAAATTCATTTTCTTTCCCCCCACTTTCTGTAATTTTTTGCGAAACAAACATGCTTCTAGCGGAAATGAAACAAACAGGCCCTTAGTATCCGCTCGCCAACGTCCCCAGTATGTAATTAGCGTAAGTAAATACAGATGAACAAATTTTCACTGTAGACCCAAATGAACTTTTAATTACCAAAATCGACCGTTTTTTTATTTAATTACCAAAATCGACCCGTTTTATGCCATGTAGGCTTAATCATGTTTCCTAATTAGTCGGGGTTGCCAACCCTGACTATTTAGGAGTTATTAAACCCTAATTAGAAACCTTAAAACCCAATTTGTAATGCTCTAAACAGTCGGGGTTGGCAACCCGACTAATTAGGAAACGGGATTAAGCCTACGTGGCATAAAACGGGTCGATTTTGATAATTAAAAAAAAAGGTCGATTTTGGTAATTAAAACTTCATTTAGGTCTACGGTGAAAATTTGTTCAATACAGATATTGTATCGCACCCGACCGGCTACTACACGTGGCTACCCATCATCTCATTTAAACTCTGCCGGTATCAAAAAAATTAATTAAAAAAACCGTAAGAAGATATGTTACCCCCAAAATTTCCCCCCATTTCCCTCTCCTTTCGAGTCCATTTCTAATCTCGAAAGTATTTGAACTCTCGAACTCCGATCTCATCAAAATCTCAGATACTCTCTCCGATCCTTCACTCTCTTTCATCAATTAGGAAATTACCCCCAATTAAACGACTCCATCTTTGATCGAATTTGCAGAGGTTATGAGCACCAATTCGTCTTCAAAGCGATGCACGAGGAGGAGCTCCAGGGTTTCTCCTGCAGAGGCTGTCCCCAGAACTGCGGCTCAGAGTTCGCGCCCTCATCTTGAAGCCAGCGATGATGAGGTTCAGATGTGGTCCTCTCCGAGAAGAATTCCTCAGGTTTAGTTTGTTTATCTTTATTGGTTTTATTCATTTTTATGGTTTTCATACTTAATTTAGGGTTCTGATGAGTTCTTGAAAGGATATGATGATTGTTTGCCGACCCTAAAAATTTGGGATTAAGGTTTTCTCGAAAGGCAGTTCCTTTTTAAGGTTTTATTTTGGGGTTTTAGCCTTAAAACTTTCATATTTATAAGTTGGTCCCTTAAATCATAGAAATTTTTATTTCCCGCGGATTCATATGAATTACGCCAAAACTTTTATAAAAAAGATGGGATTGTTAGAAAAAAGTGTGATTCTTATTTGTAGATGTACATGTGCACTACTGCTCTTAATGAAAAAGCAAAAACAAAAACTTCAACTCCTTTTTTTTTATGTGGTACTGGCACACAATTACGCCAAATCGTAATGCACAGGACAAATGCTGTCTCAATTTATTTCTCTGAAGTTGAGTTCCTTGGATTAGATCTGTAGATAATACTTAATTAACTTTCCCATTGGTTTCATGATTAATAAGCAAACGCATATATAACATGCATTATTAGTAACTTGTTGAGAATGAATTCCAAACATGTGCATTGGATTGAAAATGATGTGATTGCTAGAATGTTTATTTCTGTTGATTTTGTTGGAATTGTTGCCTGAACATGACACGAGCCAGTAAATGTGTTACTATTGAAAGTAATCATGTCATCTTAAGCTTTCAAGTCATGATGTCATTTTTCATATTTTTGTGGAACATGGCCAAGTTTCCAACCATTAAAATACTAATCCTGTTAAATAACTGATTTCTCTCACCATGAGATATCTTTGATTTCTCACTTGAATAACTAAGATGAATTTTCTATTCATTGTGAAGAACTTTCCACTCACTTCTGCATATCTCACAATCGTCATGGAAAATCACTGATTTCTTCCATCCTGAACTTTCTCATTTAGAAATTGAGAGTGAATTATGGGGCATGTTACGTACATGTACATAAGAATATACCTGAGTCTGTATTTTTATCTCATGAAGCGCTTACTGATTGGTTGCCTTATATCTGTATCCTTTTTTTTCTGCTTTTCTTATTACTTCCACAGGCGAGGAATCAATCTAGGAGGAGAAATCGTCCTGTGATTGTAGTTGTAGATGATGAGAGAGAAAGTCATTCAGGGACTCGAGGTTCTATTACATCTCTGACTTTTAGTTTCTATATTGTATTAAACTTAGAATGTATCATTAATGTTTGAGTGCTTTTTCAATCTAATATGCTTACTATTAATACAACCATGAGGATTGTAGTTGGCCTTAGTGTGTTGGGGTGAGTGGAGGACCTTGTTATAAATGGTGGAACGAGTGTAAAAAATTCCTACAATGTTGGTTGCACACATCCAGGAACTTGTTCGCTTATATTTACTTTGAGTACTCTCTTCAATTCATGGGTTTCATCTCTGTCTTTACCTTGTCTTTCTAGTTTCATCTCCTGATGGACAACTGTCTTTCCTTTGGTCAAATAAAGAATCTAAAGATATGAGTTGTTTTGTTCTCTACCACCATTACATACACAAATTTAGTATTTTCTTCAATTTGTAGGCAAAGGTTTCATGTTTTCCTTTTGTTTTTAGTGGGTTGAATTGGGGATGGTGGCATAACTAGAGATTACTAAATTTTTAATAAAATTTCTGAAGAAAGCAATTAGATAACAACTGGATGAATTGTGTACTTCATCGATGTTTTGTGCCATAGCTCACCGGACAGGAAAGGCTTATATTATGATGACATCATGATAGACATATATGCTAGGTGACATAAATAGCTGTTGCTGCTATTATTTATTTGGAGGTAGTATTTATTTACTTTGATTCTTTTTTTATATGTGCGTGCTTCGTGATAGGTTTGGTTTCTTACTAGATTAGAAATTTATTTCAGTAATTTTAAAAAAAAGGAGGGAGGAGGAAAGTGAAAAAGGTACGTATAGAAAGAAATAGATTCCTTTAAAAAAATTGCTAACAATATAGATGTTAAGTTCTTTATAAAGTTGTGGATCTCATAATTGCATGCAACATGATATGTGCAATGTTCACTTTGGAGCCTTACTTTAGTAGGGAGAAATCTTCATTAGGTTATTTTGTTGTCTAGATGTTTATGCACAGTGGTATTTTGTAACTTGAATGGCACACATCAAGTTTGCACGGATAGGATTTTGGATCCAAGTCCTATCTTGAGCACTGTCATTCTCTCTGCACCATCTTATTGTCCTATCTGAAAGTACCCACTCTGTTGTGGGTTATGACAGGGCTGTCGCATTCGGGCGCCGCAGTGCCCGGCCCAAAACTGGGCTAACCGGAGCCCTGCCCGGCTGTCTTGTCCAGCCCTGTTTAGTATATATATATATATATATATATATATATATAATTATATATATATATATATATATATATATATATATATATATATTAGATATTTTTATATATAATTATATTATAATATGGTCATTAATGTGTATATATGTGTGTGTTATAAGTATATTTATATGTGTATATTATAGAATTATAATTATATAAGTATATGTAAGTGCATACGTATAATTATATATAAGTATATTGTATCTAGTATATATAAAAGTATATCATATAAGTAAACTGTATAACTGTACTTAAATAAGCATAATGTAAGTATGTAATAAATACATCTATAATATATATTTATGTGATTCTCTCTCTCTCTCTCTCTCTCTCTCTCTCAAGTTATAACTTATAAGTATATTATGTATATACAATACATTTACATATAATATATGTATATATAATATATAGCTGTATACTCTCTCTCTCTCTCTCTCTTAGCATGGTATAGATACTAAGATATAATAATATAAATATATATAATATAGCTAGAAGTATACTTATATGTGTATATTATAGAATTATAGTTATATAAGTATATATAAGCGCATAAGTATAATTATATATAAGTATATTGCATTTAGTATATATAAAACTAAAGTATATCATATAAGTAAACTGTATAACTGTACTTAAATAAGCATAATGTAAGTATGTAACAAATACATGTATAACTATATAATATGTATTTATAAATAAGTTATATATTTATGTGGTTCTCTCTCTCTCTCATGTTATAATTTATAAGTATGTACAATATATTTACATATAATATATGTATATATAATATATAGCTATATATATATACTCTTAGCATGATATAGATACTAAGATATAACAATATACATATATATAATGTAGTTATAAGTATACTTATATGTGTATATTATAGAATTACAGTTATATAAGTATATTATATAAGTGCATAAGTATAATAATATATAAGTATATTACATCTAGTATATATAAAATTATATAATATGTATTTATAAATAAGTTATATATTTATGTGGTTTTCTCTCTCTCTCTCATGTTATAATTTATAAGTATGTACAATATATTTACATATAATATATGTATATATAATATATAGTTATATATATACTCTTAGCATGATATAGATACTAAGATATAACAATATACATATATATAATGTAGTTATAAGTATACGTATATGTGTATATTATAGAATTACAGTTACTATATTATATAAGTGCATAAGTATAATAATATATAAGTATATTACATCTAGTATATATAAAATTATATCATATAAGTAAATTGTATAACTGTACTTAAATAAGCATAATGTAAGTTTGTAACAAATATATATATAACTATATAATACATATTTATAAATAAGTAATATATACTTATGTGATTCTCTCTGTCTCTCTAAGTTATAACTTATAAGTATATACAATATATTTACATATAATATATGTATATACAATATATAGTTATATAATAATTTGTAAGTATATACTAATACATACTTATATAAATATAATAAGATTAATCTAATTTTTAGCAATTTTTTACCAAAAAAAAAGAAAAAAAAGAAAAATGATCGGGCCGGCCCGGTCATTTTCATATGTAGACATTTTTAGGTAATTGTTAAATTATGGTTTTTTCATATGTAGAGATTTTTAGTTAATTGTTAAATTATGGTTTTTCATATGATTAACTGATTATTAATAAAGAAGTTATTTTTATCATTTTAATTTCTATGATTTTTTGTACTTGTAAATTATATAATTACAAGTGATTAATAATATGATTGTTTTTATCAAAATTTTGTTTAATTTTTTGCTATGTATTCTTGAAAAAAAAAATGAAAAAAATAAAAAATCGGCCCCGCCCGCTCAGGCCCGGTCCAGGCCCCAGTTTTGCCCGGCCCGTTTGGACTGGCCTAGTACTGATGGGTTTGTTTGTTTTATTTTTATTTTCTTTTCTTTTTATTGATGTGTGGGTTTCTTTTGGTTTTGTTTTTTTGGGTTTTTTTTTTTTTGTTTTGTTTTGTTTTGATTTGGTTTTTGTTTTTTTGGCGGGGAGGGCTGATGGTGTTGGGACGTACTTGTAGAAACAAGTAAGAAGTATGGGCGCTGGTTTTGTAAGTATTTCTGCACTTTAACAGGATCAGAGAATCACCTTAATAATTTCCTTACTGCAGTTTACTGAATTGCAAATTATATCCTGTCTTTTGGCGGATAAAATGGCTTCTGCAATTTTGCGCATCCACTGATCTACACCCATTTTCCTATTCTAATACACTGCTAACAGAAGTGTTAGTGTATCTCCTCCATTAGTTACCATTATTTATATGAATATTTAGCTTCTAGAATGCAAAGGTCGTGTTCGGTTTATGAGACACCTAATTGTGGCTTATTTTTGAAGGGATACGTGTAAATGGTCCTGTAACTGTGGCCACCGTCAATCATCGAAACAAGCGTCAAAGGATTCCACCAAACAGAACCATTATTAATTGCGAAAATTATCCAATATCTGAAGATGGTCCAAGTTCCAAGGTAGTATACACGACACTCGTCTTTGTTACCTTGTCTTTCCTTCGCTCGTCATATTTGACAGATCGATGTAAAGAAAAATTCCTCAAGGACCCAAAATATGGGACCAATATGAGGGACAAGTGAGGTGTCCCCCTCCTATTGGATAATGAGTTGGTCATCATTAATGATGGCCAACTCATTATCCAATAGGAGGGGGACACCTCACTTGTCCCCCCTATTGGTCCCATATTTTGGGTCCCTGTAGCAAAGCTCCGATGTTAATTGCTTCCTGATTTTTTTGCAATATCGCTTGTGATGACTGATGATTAGATAACTTCTGATTATATTTGTAGCAATCTGCATTGTATCAAGTGCTCTCATTTAGCCTTCCTTGTTCCTCTACTTCTCAACAATTAATAATTTTATTTGTGACAATTATATATTTATCTTCGTTTACTTAGTTTCATTCTAGCTATATCTTTTTTTTTTGTGTTATTTTTACTAGTTCTTTTTCCTACTTAAATCAAAGCCTGTATTGTGGATGTTTGATCAATGGGCTCATGGGCTCTGCTAGTGTTATCACTTGAATTCTGCTAGTTAACTATATGCAACACAGAGGATCGCCTTGTCACTTTTGGTAATTAAAATTTATTATTGCACTTGGTATTTGATGAACGGCAGAGCAAAAAAGTGAGCACGCCAGTGCCGGAAAAGGTGGTACCGAAGGAGCCAACTTTCGGTTGCCCTATTTGCATGGGCCCGATAGTTTCACCATGCTCAACATCTTGTGGCCATATCTTTTGTGAAGGTTGCATCAAGTCTGCGATCGAAGTGAAGAGGCTATGCCCCACCTGCAGGACCAAACTGGCAAAGAAAAACAGCTTTCACAAAGTGTTCCTTCCTAGCGCCACCAACGACTAGGTTGATTCCGGCTTAGGTTCTTCTGAGGGTTTTGCTGCAGTTTTGCTGCAGTTGGAAGCTAAAGGTTTCTTGTCTTTCATGTATTTTGTCAGTGTTGACCTTTCGTGTTCTGTATTCATAGCGTTTTCTCTTTTCCTTCTTTTTAGGCCATTTCATTCAATATGCAGTTGAAGCTCAGTATCTGTTTGTTGTTTGAAATGAATAGCAGAAATCATTAGTAATCTTTTCTCTTATATTTATAGTAATAAACCCAGTATCGTCTTTAATTTATTTGTATGAGGTTGTCACCCCATACTTACATCCAAGTTATATGATGGAGAGAGATGCTGAGATACAAGATTTTTCAGGGTGAACATGGTTGTGGATATGTTCCCGAATGTATGGTTAAGCACATGCCTGCATCCGTTGATGACGAGAAGTTGGTTTTGATTTGGTTCAGATTAGACGACGAGTGGTAGAGTTTGTTCTTAGTGTTGTGCATGGTTCTAGCTTTTGTTTCGGATATCCTCTGCACGCGATACGGATATGTTTGTATATGGTGTTTTACCAACCTGATCTAGTTTGATCTGCTCTAGGGTTGCACATGTTCTACACACTGCAAGCTGCAAAAGGAATTTGGTACCGAGCATAAGTTTTTGTGCTTGTTAGTGAGATTGTTCATTCTTATCCGTTTATTCAAATTGGGGACCATATTCACATGGGTTAGAGAATGGATATCATACACACACAAGTATAGTCAGTCATCTCTGAGCGTTCAGATCTTTTTTTCTACTCGAGGCAGCACGAAATCCCTTATACAACAAACGGATGAATGAACTTCTATTTTGTTTGTCCTAGTGAAACAAATTACTCCTTGACATTGACATATACGAATGTACTTTGCTTATATGTGTTGTAATCAAGGGTATTGTCTGGAAATTTCTGAAGAATGAGTAGATCGAAATGCCTAGCTAGAGTAAATTTCAGTTTGCATCTGGTAATGATCCAATAGTGTCATGAATATATTTCTACTCACTCGAGCTTATGCCTCACTTGGTATTGCGAAAACAAGCGTAATTGAATGCACATCTCCACTTTCCATTCAATCGTATCAAACACAGTTTTTTTTTTTTTTTTTTTTTTTTTTTTTTTGCCAAATGACACGTTATAGTGATAACCAACCACAGTGAGGATGGAAGTATTTTAAAAAAAAAGAAGAAAAAAAGAAAATGAAACAACATTCCATTTATCTCCTATCATACTTCAAGATACATTCTATACAAATTTTCTTTTTTTTCTTTATAAAGAACTCATAAACATCAAACTGTTGGCTTGCAGATGAACGCAGAGAAAACCAACACGTACTCCTACATGCAAACATCCAAATGCATGAACTCACAACAAATAGAACCTCACAAAGTTCAGGGGTTGTGATATTTAACAAAAATTAATAGCACGTCGTATCGTGGAGAAGCATCTGTTACTAATAATAGTAAGTACTTTATACTTACAAAGCCATTATATCTAGAAATATCATGTACGTGGTCAGGAGAGAAAAAGGGAGCAGGTTATATAACTTTGGAGAAGTATGAAACATGTGAGGGTTACAGCTTAAAAGAGTGAGCAACGCTAATGATGAGCAATGCTAATTCTGTTTGCTATGTTGTTGCTCCAGCTTTTGGCTCACATGGAACTTGCATGTGGACAGAAGAGAGGAATAATGGGTTTACATGTACATTCTCAAAATTTGACATTTTGCAGTTTTAAGTTTTATGGAATGATGGGTATGAGACGACAACTTATTTTGTTTAATAAGCTATTAATAGATAAAATGATGAAGTCCACACCTTTTGATGTAACCAGCAATGTGAGCCTCATGACATGCTATTTCTTGGTAGCTCAATTAGTGAAATGAGCAGTCACCTCATACGCACACACGAGCATATGTCTGCTCATAGACTCATAGTTGGAAACACAAAGTTGAGGTTCTTAGGAGGAAAAAAAATATAGTTTACCCAATTAAAGTAAAAGCAGAAATTGGAGAAGTTTGACTTGATCCAAGCCAATTAAGAGCATGAATTAGACCATAATATATGAATTTGGATGGCACATTTTGTCCTGTTAAAAATTTTTTATATAGTCGAATGCAAATAAGATTATTGCTAATATTTGGGATGTTGAAAACTTTGTTATATATATTAACTTTACCAAATTGTATATATTGAAATTTTCTATTTTATATATTCTCTCCACAAGTACCAACAAATTTTTTTGAATTCAAATTGAATTACCATTTTTATGATCTTGGAATTTTACAATGATGAAAAATATTAGAACGGAGTATCGTCTTCTCTCGTCAAAGGACTGATATAAGAACAACTAATCTATTTTGACTAAAAAATTTTTTATAACCAATCTCGTAACAAAAGCTCTATAGAAAACAATATATAATATTTTAACTAAATCTGGGAGGAAATTCAATATTTTTTAAGGAAAATATGGCTTTCAAAATTCAAATTTGGAAGTACTACCATTATTGGGAAAGAAAATTAAAATTGCAAGTTTTTCAACTAAGAGATATGAAAAATGCCTTAGGACCCAAAAACATGGGACTCTACATGGGATATTTAAGATATCGGCTCCCTATCCCATGATGAACAGTGCATCATAGGATAGAGAGCCGATACCTCACCTATCCCATGTAGGGTGCTATGTTTTTAGATACTCGTAGCACCACCCAAGAGATATACATGTGCAAATAATGCATGTGCAAATATGCGAAAAAACGTTCTTATTTGAGTTATTTCTTACAAAAGGAGCCCACCAATCCTCAGCAATAAAGGCACCCTGTATCGTACGAAAACTCTCTCAAAAGACTAGTCGTCTCCACCCATTTATCATTGAACCCCGCCACGTCTCTAAATTCTCAACCTCTCCACATTCCGCCATGAAAAAGGCCTCTCTATAACTGCAACTGATCTCCTCTCTCTTTCTCTCTGTTTCTTTTCCTGCAAAATTTGGACAGAGAACAGAGAGCTTTCTAGCCTCTGTAGCATGAGATTTCACTTGGGTTTGGGCTCAAAGGCCAAAAGGTTTCTCCTTTCTTCGCGTGCCAAGAAGAAGAAGTTGAATGGGGAGAACCCAATTGGGGAATTTGGGTTTAATAGCAAATCAGTTGTGGACTCTGGATTTGAGCACTCAGGATTTGGTACGTGATTTTTTTTTGTAAGTTACTGTGAAGTTTTTAATTGTGGCTTCTTGATTTAGTTTATGAGGAAAGGACATTTTATGATGCTTTCTTGTGGTTTTAGTTTGTTATTTTGTTACAATGGCTGATTTAAGTAAGTGATTGGTATTTGAAATTTAGAGAAATTTGCATTGTGTTTAACTTTAATGCACATTTAACATGAAAAAGTTCTGTTTTGTATAAAACAACTTTTATATTTTGTGATTGCGTTAGAAGGCCGAATTTCAATGGGTTGATAGGTTGAACAATTTTTCACTTTAGCCCTTTTCAAATTTTTTATTATTAAAATCGACCCTTTTTTCTTTTATTTACCAAAACCGACCCGATTTCTTGATTAGCGGCTTAATCACATTCCTAATTAGTCGGGGTTGCCAACCCCGACTATTTAGGAGGGTCTTAAACCCTAATTAGAAGCCTTAAACCCTAAAAATTAATATCCTAAATAGTCGGGGTTGGCAACCCCGACTAATTAGGAATGTGATTAAGCCGCTAATCAAGAAATCGGGTCGGTTTTGATAAATAAAAGAAAAAAGGGTCGATTTTAATAATAAAAAATTTAAAAGGGCTAAAGTGAAAAATTGTTCTAAAAACCCTATGAAAAATTTGCGTAACACGTCTTGTAGTTGGGCAGTCCAGTTGTTTTTAAAAAAGAACAATTTTTCACTTTAGCCCTATTTAAATTTTTTTTATTATTAAAATCGACCCTTTTTTCTTTTATTTATCAAAACCGACCCGATTTCTTGATTAGCGGCTTAATCACATTCCTAATTAGTCGGGGTTCCCACCCCCGACTATTTAGGAGGGTCTTAAACCCTAATTAGAAGCCTTAAACCCTAAAAATTAATATCCTAAATAGTCGGGGTTGGCAACCCCGACTAATTAGGAATGTGATTAAGCCGCTAATCAAGAAATCGGGTCGGTTTTGATAAATAAAAGAAAAAAGGATCGATTTTAATAATAAAAAATTTAAATAGGGCTAAAGTGAAAAATTGTTCCGTTAAAGTTTCAATGAGTTTGTGGTTGTGTTACAAGGGCTGATATAGTAAAGTGGTTGAAACTTGCATAATGTCTACATTTAATGTAAATTTAGGATAAAAAACATGTTTTTTTTCTTCTAAAAAATGGGTATTTATAATTGCTAAATATAAAAAAACAACTAAATTTGGATGACTATCAGGTAAGCTCCCATAACTTTCAAAATATCAGAAAACACCCCCTTGAGTTGGAGGTTTTAAGGGGGTATTCAGAAAACCACCCTGAGCTTTAAGATTTAATCAGAAAACCCCTCTAAGAGCGAAAAGCACAATTTTCATCGGCAAAAACGTCACCCTGCGTAATCTTGCTCACCCGTGTGAAAATTGTGATTAATGCTATATGGGGAGTTTTCTGGTAAAAAAACATGTTTTTTTTTTTGGTTGGTGGGGGGGGGGGGGGGG